AATTCGTGATTGTACGGTCCATGAATACACCATACACAGTATTCCCGCGAAGATAATTCTATACGATTGCCGTCGTTAATTTTAATCTTGCACATTGTATTATATATTTGAGGATATCTCCAAATAACGTGTTGCATATATTTTTGTATATAGTTTGTAATGTATATAATTTGCTATTTTTTCTTTACTTTTTCTTTCCCTTTCTTTATTTTATTCTCTATCTAAAACTAAAATTAATTCTAAAGGTTTAATTGTACGCTCAAGTTTAGTTCTCGTTCCTATAATTCTCATGTGAAAATTCGCGTTTAAAGTTCAGTATTTTTCGTAAAACAAAAGTCCTCGACCGAGACTTCAACTGAGATAACCGAGCGAGATAAACTGACAATTCCGGGTTCGTATTTTAGGTTGAGAGGTCGCGTTTCATCCCTCCGCGATTTAGTTGGCTTCCCAAAGCCCCGTGACGGGATTTTCCCGTATTACGAGATGCAGGTTTATTTAAGCTAGTTAGGCGATTAGACCGACGAACCCTTTGACCCACGTTTAATTTGAATTCTTATGGATCTTTAATCGCGGATCTAATCGATCCCGCGTTCACGACTCAGGCTTCACTCTTTGCGCATTAAATTTTACAATTTACTTTTTAACTATTTTTTTTTTAACGTTCGATTTTTAATTAATTATCTCTTAAAATCGTTTTAAATCGCGCAGACATTTAACTCAATTTACAAAGTTATTCAAAGAAATGATCTTTCCGTCAACTTTTAAATATGTCTGAAGAAAAATCATATTTGCAACATAATACAATATACCGCACGTTTCGCGCACGTATTAATGAATTTGCCATAACATAGAACTATTCGTACATGTCCTGAGGTAAGTCTCCAAGGTAACATAAATACTTGACGCGGACAAATGTATTGATGCATTTTTCACATTGTTCATACCTTCGTCGTCAACAAGATCGCGTTGTCTCCTACATCTTTAAAGAACTTACTGGAAACAAGCCACCACAGCAGCTCGCGTTGGCGCCTGCCACGTTCGCGAAAGTCTCCGTCTGTGGCAAGATCTGCGAGATCGAGTATCCTTGGAGATTGGCCGCTTTGTTCGAATGGCCGAGGAACCACCACTGCCCTCCGCCTTTTCTTCTCGCACAGCATCCCGTTCTCGTCTCTCCTCTTCCACTTGTCTCTTTAAACTGTCTTCTGCTAAAGTCACGACTTGTCCCCGAAGAGATATTGGAGTAGTGACATGGTCTCGGGTCGTCGGGGCGTGATCTACCGTCTCGCCAGTGCTACATCTAACTACTTGACGCAGTCGTGGCATTCGGACGAAATTCCGAAAGCGAGTTGCACGAAGAAGTAAATATACCATGCTAACAGTGTAGAATTGTAAAAAAAAGAACGAAGTATTCTAAAAATACTTCAAAATTATTATAATCTTATATATATTCTTTAAATGATTTTTTGCATTTTAATTTATATATCACTACTGTTATCGTTATTATTAAAGAATAAAAAGTAATGAATGATGCAACTTTCTCGCTCTTATTGTGAAAAACTATCAAAAAGGAAAGACTTGACCATGAATTTATTTTCCGGAAATAGAGCGTTAAAAAAAACTAGCTGACTTAGAGTCAACTAATTGGAAGGCCGCGATTCTGTTGCCTCAATTCCACGAGCGGACGAAAATAAATGTTACGGCAGGAGTTGGGTAAATAGGGTAAAAGTAGCAGAAAGATATTGAACTGGCCAGGCTACTTCGCGGAGCCGAAGTCCGCGGAAATTGCTTGAAATGAAAGAAGGCCAACGATATCAAGTTATTTCGTACCACATTCAACCTGTCAAATAGTTCGAGAGATCTCTTTACTAGAACCGCGTATCTCGTGGCCTCGAAATGGCAAAAACTCACACGACTGAAAGATCATTTCACTTTACAGTTTGATACTTAATACATAGTTTCAAAATATATATATATACATATAAAACGCATTTTATAGCAATGTATATCAATCACGGAATGTTCCTCTTTTCTTTCAGATGAAAACGGCAAATATATATTCGTGAAAAGTCAATCGAGATAAAAAGATTCTCTTTAATTTTAATATTACGTATGTACATGCAAAAATCTTAGAGTTACTAAAAATTAATATTATTTTACGATATCGCAAAAAATGCAGTACATTTTGAGAATGAGAGGAGTTGGTATAATTTTTCCCTTTTAATCTATCTGCTGAGACAATTAAAGGCTATATATTATATATTAATTTATTTTTAAGAAATACATACACACTAGATATATATTTTCCATCGTTCTCAAAATACTGCAATATTGTTGGAAGATTCTTCGACACTCAACGTCATTTCTTCCGGCCAGATATTGCTCCGTGTTTCTCGTTTCCAGACATTCAATGATTTCAATCCCAGTACGAGTGCAGTCCATTTAAAGAAAATCGGTCAAGCAAAAGTGCCGATATCTTCAATGTCGGCATCAAGATTTTTTTTGTTTATCTTTTATATATATTTATATTTTCTCGCAAAAATATCTTTGTGTTGTCTATTCCGAACGTGCAACGCGCAATGTAAGAATGAGAATATTATCTAAAGATTATTAAATACGCGTATTTTGACAAGAAGATGACATCGAGAGCAACGTGGCATCATTGACAAACTTGAAATAGACATCGCAGTACTATGTCACGTGCGCGTAATGTCATTATGTTTCATGCAAAATATATAACGGTGCATGCAACTAAGACCGCAACGAAATAATGCTAATTTATTCGGTGTACATATTTGATGGGAGAAAGGAGAGAAAGGGCACGTGTATAACCCGAGATGTCTTATCCTTTCAAGGATGCGAAATTAGATAATTCCATATTTCGATACGCAACTGCAAGACATTCGATCTCATCAACTCGATCGTCAGTTTATTCCATTAGTTTCCAAATGTAGGTTTAAGACGATTAAGAAAAGAAAATAAAATAATTATTTAAGTATTTATATTTATAAATATTTAATATAAATTATTAATTATTTAAATAAGTATTTAACTTATTATTTTTAACAATTATTTTGATGATAATTTAAAAAGATTTTGAAAACGCAAAAGCTTTTTAGTTTGGTAGTTGAAGAATGTGAATCATTCATTTACGCGATTGCTTCTCTTACGCTTTATGAATCCCAGATATATCCGTCACGAAGCGTGTCGAGGACGTAAAATTAACATGTGCGAGGCGAAAAATGCGCGGTTGAAACGGGTTGAAATTCCCGTGAATGATTCAAGAGCGGGTGAGATCTACCGTATATGTGTGCGCGCTTCATAGCACACCCTTATAATGCAACCCATGTATCGTAATTTATAATAACGTGTGGTTTATATAAGGGAAATAAAGAGAGAGAGAGAGAGAGAGAGAATAGACACGTTGACATTATTATAAGCAGCAACGTTATTCTGATGCACGACATTCACACAAGCTCTAAAATATACGCTTCGCGATGCACACGTGCGTCGTCGACGTCGTCGTGGATCCATTTGTGCGAACGTAAATGCACGGTTTGCGAGGGTCGCTACGAGATTGCAATCCATTCATGTGTACTCTCTCGAATTATAATACACATATATACATTACACATTACACACTTAAATAGCAACGACGCTTCTCCGCTATATATTGGTCCACGCACACGCATTGCGTGCATCTGCAATTTTTTTACGTATAAAACTCTTCTCAATATTGTCATTTACTAACGAATAATTATATCACAAATAATATGGGCGATATATGTGCTTGTAACATTTTTCGCGATGATAAGTACATGTAAAGTCATTTTCTTCGCTGATGTTTTGCTTCTTCGTTTTTTGTCGATCGGGAGACTCCGCCTTTAAAGCACTCATACGATTCGAAAGCCGGTTATTATTAAATTCTTTCGAGTCATAGGAACTAGAAGTACTAACATCTGTCGCGATTCACATAATATTTTGGCATCAAATATTACAAATCAGATATATATATATATATATATATATATGCGTGTGACATATAAAGAAATTATATATTATAATTAATTGTATTTTTGAATTAATTGAAATTGAGTAATAGATCTTAAAAAAATGAATTATGTATTATCTATTAAAGCTGAATGCACACTATATGTAACGTCAAGGTAACGTCAAATATTCTTATACATATAAGCTTTAAATATCGGCTTCTGTCATGATCGATGTGTATTAGTCCAATTGGAAGCCATATAAGAATACTTGACATTACGTTGACATCACAGTAACGTGTTATGCATATAGTGTACATTCAACTTAATAAAAATTCGGATATATTATTATTAAAATCCAGTTATTTATTTTATGATGTATCTTGATTGTAAACAAAGTTACGTGATTTGTCGCGCATGAATTTATGAGATAGATTCCGGTTTTAGATTCCTTCTCCCCCGGAACAAATTTATAGAAAGATAGAAAGAGATTATATATTATCTACACATTTCGCATACAAAATTTAAGAAGCGCATCATTTTATATATAAGCATCACGGAGAGAAGATATAGACGCGATAGAGGGGTAAGGAGTATCGAAGAATCGAGGCGATTACGAGAAGGATCGAAAAGACGTAATACAAGGATAAAAAAAAAGAGGATAAAGAGAGAGGAAAAAAGGATGAAAGCTCTTTAACCAGAGTGCTCTGAACGACAGGTGAGTTCTTTGGTAAAGGTAGAGAGGCTACGATTTCTCGAGAGGAGAGGAATGAAGGGAGAGAAAGAGAGATGGAGAGAAGGAACGTCGTTTGTGGCGGAGACCGAGAGAGATGAGACAGAGACGAGAAGTATGCGACGATGTGTGACGAAGGAAGGCACGAAGATACACGAGCGCAGAGTCAGCGCTCGGAGCTCGGGAGTGCGTGGTGGTGGGGAGGTAAGCGTCGGCAGAGTGGGGGAATCGGAGAGGGGTTAGGAAGAGAAGGGGACGAACACGCCGGCGCCTCAGTATCGCGGTGTCTATCAAGGTGTTTGTTTCGCGGCTAAATTCCGACCTCGGAGACAAAAGACTTTTTCCGTTTTAGCTCGGCCATCCTTTTTCGGGAAGTTCGTGCATAGAAAGAGAGAGAGAAGGAGAACGCCATTTCGATCGTTCGCGTTCATCCTCTCTCTCGTTTTCGCGATGTCGCGTCGTTTTTACGACGAGCAAGGCTAGCCAACCGCGACTTCGGCGGAAGCCGCGACCGGCCGTCTTTCTCTCTCTCTCTCTCTCTCTCTCGCGCGCGCGCGCGTTCGACGGAGAGGGACGATATCGGGACTGTACCAGCTGTGTGACGCGGTCGGGGCGAGTGTATGCGTGCTGTGTTCTCTCGTTTGTATCTTCTTGTTTTGTGCGCGGCTCGCGAATCGAGTTTTGCTTTCGCGCTCGCCGGTTTCTCGTTTCCCTCTTGTGTGCACCGATGTTTTCTCTCCCGTGGCCCCGTTAACGCGAGGGAACAAAGGGAAACGAGACGAGCGAGACCAACAGCGGACAAAAGGGAGAAGAGAACTACGTACATAGAGACGTCGTATCGATCGAGAGCCGAAGCTAACTTCACGTGAGTCGATGAGTTTTGTATTACTGCGAATAAAGAAATCAATCACATCAATGTCTTCCCGTGACGCGGACGAAGGAGGAGACGTGGATGTGCTCGTCCATTCCTCTCTGTCGTCCGGTCATTACGTCAGCTCCGTTAACGGAAAATTATTAGAACGAATCTCGCACGTGTGCTTGAGGTAATATAATCGAAATAATGCTCGAGGAAATAGCCGCGATTATTCGCAAACGATTATTCAATCACTTTCGTCCGCGACTGTGTTTACATTCCAAAATCAAGCCTTGATGTTTACATTCCAAACTAACTTACGATCATACAGCTCGCTGCCTGCTCGCTGCCTGCTTGCTGTCTGTTTAATTTTTTTAGGGGAGGGCGACGCGCTGTATGCTTGATACTATGTTTGAAATGCGATAAAACATTTTTATTATTATCGGATAATAATAATCTTTCGATATATGCAATGCGTTGTATATCTCAATATTTCTATTTCTAGACGCTTGCTATTTTCGAGAGATAATCGTATCTCACTCTCGTAACTGGTGAATCTAATTTTATACTGTTTTTTTTGTTTAAAACAAACAATACAAGTTTAGTATATGTATTATTAATATCGACGAAAGTATGTTGGTATTTTATGTAGATCACAAAACTTCGTAAATGTGCAACTTACATAATATAAATGTACTTACTTTATTAAAAAGCTTATTTTGCAATTATTTAAATTGATAACAAATTTTCTAATATTGTTAAATGATATGATGTTTGAAAGAATTTCATTAATTCTCGAGCATTATTTCAGCATTAAAAGAATGTGGGTGTAGACAATATTATCAATTATATTATAAACTATATATGATAAATGATTCATAACAATAGAAAAATTATTATAAAAAAATATTTTTTACATACACATACTACAAAATATAAAGATGATTATATAATGTAATATAAATATTATTACAGTTATCGTAAACTCATCAATTGTTTATTAATTTACTAACTTTATTGAAAAGAGTTTATATAAATTGATATATTTGTTTAATGATATAGAAATTTATAATGGGTGCTTTCCATTTAATGACTCAAGTCGACACAAGCATCATTCTATCTTTGTTGTGCAACTTACATAATATAAATGTACTTACTTTATTAAAAAGCTTATTTTGCAATTATTTAAATTGATAACAAATTTTCTAATATTGTTAAATGATATGATGTTTGAAAGAATTTCATTAATTCTCGAGCATTATTTCAGCATTAAAAGAATGTGGGTGTAGACAATATTATCAATTATATTATAAACTATATATGATAAATGATTCATAACAATAGAAAAATTATTATAAAAAAATATTTTTTACATACACATACTACAAAATATAAAGATGATTATATAATGTAATATAAATATTATTACAGTTATCGTAAACTCATCAATTGTTTATTAATTTACTAACTTTATTGAAAAGAGTTTATATAAATTGATATATTTGTTTAATGATATAGAAATTTATAATGGGTGCTTTCCATTTAATGACTCAAGTCGACACAAGCATCATTCTATCTTTGTTGTTCACTGGTATTGAAAGAAGATAGAATGATACTTGTGTCGACTTGTATCACTAAATGGAAAGCACCCAATATATTATATCCTCTTTCAACAATATATTGAAATTATTTAGAGGATAATTAATCGCATAAATTTTATTGCAATTGTATAAGAAATGCATATAAAATTATGATTCGTTAAAAAAAATATCGATATACGTCGATAGTCAGATATCAGATTTAAGAATATCATATTGTAATTATAATAAGAGAAATTATAGTAATAGAATAACAGTAAATAGAGGAAACCATTCGAGGATTATTAAATAAAAGAAATGTTTGTGTATGTGACGGGCAGATATTCCATATCTGTCTCGCTTTCTCTTTATCGGATTACTTTTTAACAAGTTCTTTGATTAAAATTTCAAGTTGGATTTTCTCTCAATAAAAATATCGAGGCATAAAATTCCGATGAAATTTTACGCACATACGTTCGGAATTTTCTCGCGAACACACATTCTCCGTATTCTCCTTCGTATTATCGTTATTAACGGTTATAACATTTGTGCCGGACGAATTTGCACGTGCTTCTCATTCGCGAAAGCCGCCGGTGATATATATCTTCCAGAGCGATGAAGATTATGCTGCACGACGGGGCGTACCGTCGCTAATTAGACATGCGCCCTCGAACTCACGTCTCTGCATAATATCTCCGTGCTTTTATTGCACGTGAGGTCTAATTAAGGTAGCGAAACAAAAGCCACGGTCGATGGTAATGAAGGGATACTCGCCTAGACATGTTTCGATTCAAGCGGCTACGGATATCTTTATTCCTTTGATATCCAACCGAACTCATTCATCCGATATCTCACAAGTAGTTTTGCAATTCGATATTTTATCAAGTACTGTGCCTTTATAATATCTACTTGTTTTACAGCTTAACGGAACGAAATTGTCAACGCCTCTTTTTATTCAGTTTATGCGTTTTAGATCGTAGATAAAATATCGATGAAAAAAAAAAATATACTTTACGCGTTCAATGCTTTATTTTGATTCGAGACACTTTACTGTCGACAATATTCGACATTCGAATGATGACATCACTTGTTTGAAGGGTCGGTCGATCAATACTAGCGAGTCGCAGGTTAGGTGCAACTTTCTACATTGCATTTCTATTCTCTTGATCAATCAACGGAATCAATGCTTTCGACATGTATCGCGTTTAGTAAACTGGTATCGGCGGATATTTATTTAGTAAAATTCTGCAGGCTCGAAACGTTGCGAGATAAGATCAAAAAGCTTTTCGAAATTATTTTAATAACTTCTGTAAATGTAATATTTAATCTCAGTAAATGTAATCTCTTTTAAATTTATTTTATATAATAGTGAAAAATTTCCTGGATACAATTTTTACATTTTTCTAAAAACATTTAGAAAAGGAAAATCAAAATAGCTTAAATTAATTAATATTTTACAACTGCACGCATAGTTTGTTATTTCAAAGACTTGGTTCAAGATAGAATAGCTTTGTTACGAGTCTTTGTTACGATTTTTTGCATTTCATATCTGCTGCAGACAGCATGATATTGAAACAAAAGTCAGCGAAATTAAAAGTAAAAGCAACGTTACGTTTCCAGAGAGATAAGCGTCAAATAGATGCTGTAAAAAAGGAACGTGCTTCTTTATCAACCGGTGAATAAAACTATTTTTAAATACGTATTTATCAAAACGTGCTTTAACTTACAATTTTTTAGCTGCCGTGTGTTTTCCTGATAACATTTTTTTGTGAAAGTAAAATGAAAAATAAAAAGGAACGAATATGGAAATCGATTTAAAAGGATGTTTTTTTTTTTTCTTGAACTTTCCAGAGTTCTGGTTTACGGAATTGTTCTTTTATATTTATATTTACAAAGTAATTAAAATAATGTAGAATATAAAAAAGACATTTTTAGAAAAATTTGATTTACATTAAAGATTGCCGAAAACATTTCTTTTTTCTTTTAGTATTTATCGTTTCACTATCTTCAATAAAATGCATAATGTATTTTGAAACGATATAATGAAACAATCAGAAATTTATTATTTAACGACTGCAGCTCATGATATTGTGAATTTCCGGGAAAGTGGGGCATCATTCTCATCTTTGTTTAAAAGGAAAAAAAAAGGAGAAAGTTATATGAAAAGTGCAAAGTACCACGCATTACTCTTTGCGCAGATGGTACATTCACACAGTATTTCATCTGGGAACGTAACAGACGCATTCAACATTAATTCTCTCAACATTCTCCATTAAACTTGCGAATAGCCCAAGCAAGTTTGCTATCTTAACAGAACTTTTAATGAAATCTTCTAACGTAAAACGCGTTTATATTCTCAGCGAAATAATCGCGTATTGCACGAAGGGTGGTAAACACTTGAGGGTATTTTGCGTCGCGAAATATCACGTAACACCGTAAATGCATCCTACATTACATTAAATTTTATACGGTGAGAATAATGCCTTAATGCAATTCGCAATCATCCTCGATATCTGAATTATGCGATAGAGTTGAAAAATTTGATCGGTTCGATTTGGTGGATCGAGATATCATCTTTATCGCGCATCGATCGACGGTGAAAATTAATCCCGACATTTGAAAAGTTGAATAGCAAGTTTCGAATATAAATCTCGTACTTTTGGCGCACAGTCCTCCTCGTCGTATTTTCAAACGCAGATATAACTTATGGACATTAGTCATTGATATAATCGATCTCGGCGGTGCGGTAACTAATCTCGCGTGACGTACCACGACCGTCGACCGTAACGTAAATTTATCGTTAGCTAATTAGCCATTCCGTCGTTCATTCTCCCCCTCCGTTGCACCCGGATAGAATTTCTGTGTTAATTCGATGCATCGGCGAATGCCTCCCACGAATTTGCCGGTTCGTATTTCCAGGAGACCGATCTGTCCATCGCGCGAAACCATGATATTTCATTGCAAGTACCATTTCATGAAAACATGATGTACCTCAATCGCGAATCTAAACGCGAACGAGAATTTATTTGTGTTTAGAAAATTAATGCGTAATATAAAGTAGATTTTATTTTAGAAATGTGTTTAACCTAGAATTTACGAGAGCGATTCCGTAGGTAAATTTCGTAGTTATGGAAAAAGTTAACGTAACGAGCTTCTCCTCGGGTCCATCCCGAGTTGGGATTTGGCCTTTGTTACGGAAAGCCCTTTATAGCGCCCGCGCGCGGATAGTGTTTCTCAATTCATAATAGTCGGAGGATGTAGCTCCTCGTGTATTCCGCGGTGCTGACCCATACCCTAGGGTGCTACCACCAGAGTTGCAAGACAGGTAGTGACGTCATCGACCCAGCTGCTTCTCTCTTTTGTGCTCGTCTTTCCTCTCTACAAGATGTTCGCCGCGTCTGTAGCGAGTGTAATAGCTCCAAGTTCATTAAACGT